CTCCTCCTCCTCCTTCTTCTTCTTCTTCTTCTTCTTCTTCTTCTTCTTCTTCTTCCCTCTTTTTCTGTGTGTGTCAGAAAGGACAGTCAGAACACTCCAGACGAGAGAAAAATCATGACCAAAGAGAGAGAGCCCTGGACAGCAGCCTCGGTTCTGTGCGTGCAGCGTGCTCCTAGAGAGGTTGCAGAGGGAGAGGGTGGGACCGAGGATGAAGGAGGAGGGAAGGCCAGGTAGCTAATTGCATAGTCATTTCATTAGAATTGTGTATGACACGTGTTTATATATTGCCATTAAGCTATGTGAGTGACGTCAATGATTAGATAAACAATGACTAGGTAACTTACATGTTTAAATAAAATACCCCATGATATTATATCGCTTTTTAATAAAAATAATATCTGAATCATGCTAATTTATTGATTTGATGGTTACATTGCAGTTGTATAGGAAAACATATTTATTAAAAACATTTATGCGAAATATAAGTTAAAGTTCTGGCGTGATGGAGGATCATATTGGCCACCTACTCTTACAGGCTCAGAAAAAACAAATCTGTACCGTACTTGCAACTTTTCTCTAAGTTTGATATTCCTTCAAAATAGTAACAAAAAGGGTAAACCAAGGCTGGTTTATATGATCTGACCAAGCCACCTGGGTAATAAGTGGCAGCACCAAATTGCAACTCAGGTGTGTCTGGCTCCTGAATCCATACCCTCCTCACCAAGCACATGGCTCCCTACATCGCAGCTGCCTCTCCAGACCTTTCGAAATTGGCCCAGGAAGGTCCCTCACTGGTCGGTCACCTGTGCAGCTGCCTGCCTCCCTGAAGCCGAACTGCTCCCCACTGACCCAGCCTGCCCTCCATCCACCTGGCTCTTCCATCCACCTGGCTCCTCCATCCACCTGGCCCGGCACCCACGTTAGGGCACGTGGCTGGCAGCTGCTGGGCAGCTGAAGCACTCAGCACTTCAAGTAGCTTTGGCTGGCTTCCTGTCCCTAGGAGCGGGGTTCCATCAGCTGAGCTCCCACTCCCCAAAAGTCCTCCGGCTCTTCCTGAGGACCTAGAGATTTTTCAAACCACTTACAAGTCAGCATGGCAATGTTTTCTTGTCTTGGTTCCCCACTGTCACCAACACTACAATTTGAGATTCCCTCCTAATCAAGGGGCTTGAATAGGGGATCTCATCAATCAGGGCTTCGTGTATAGTTCCACCACTTAAGGACATCAGCATTGCAGGTTATCAGACATCACCCACTGCCAAAGGCAGAAGCTGCCGCTCTCCTGTGACTTCCAGGCCCTGCCTGCCTCCCCACAACTGAACCTGCCAGTGCCCAGCAAGGGGACGTGCATGACCTGTGATGCCACAGTCGTTACCTGTGACTCTGAGCCATGCACCCTCCTCCTCAGCCGCAGGCTCTAGAACAGTGATGGCGAATCTATGACACGCGTGTCAGAGGTGACACGTGAACTCATTTTTTTGGTTGATTTTTCTTTGTTAAATGGCATTTAAATATATAAAATAAATATCAAAAATATAAATCTTTGTTTTACTATGGTTGCAAATATCAAAAAATTTCTATATGTGACACGGCACCAGAGTTAAGTTAGGGTTTTTCAAAATGCTGACACACAGAGCTCAAAAGGTTCGCCATCACTGCTCTAGAAGCAGGAGCGGGGAGGCCTGGGGGGCTCAGTGCTGGACACACTCCGGGACAGGCAGTTTGTTCCAGGTCAGCCTGGCCACCCTCAGCTTGAGCCAGGGCCTGCACTGCCTAGAACCACGTGGACCCTTCCAAGCTGAGGGGGCTCTGGGGCTGGCCTGGCCCCATGGACATATACCTGGTGGCTGAGCTGCCCCTTGCTCTCCTGGGAAGAGTCCAACCTTCGGGATGTTCTCTCCTGGTGGTGGGCATTCAGGGGCTGGTGGTGCTTGCCGGTGGGTGTGTCACCAGCCAGGATGGGCGCCATGGCCAGAGGGGAGGGCTTCCTTGCCACGTGCCTTACCGGGCCCTGGGTGAGTGCCCTCATCCTGCACTGCTTGGAAACTGGTGGAGGGGAGTGTCCCTTCTTCAGACCTGCAGTTGCTCTTTGCAGGCTTCCTAAGTGCCCCTCCATGCTGAGTGCCCATGAGGAAATGCGCTGTGTAAACAGATGGCTGCTTCTGGCCAGCCTCCCCGGAGTGGAAGCCCTTGTGACAGGAGCCTCTCCAGCGTGGAGAGGAAGCATGCTCATCTACCTCCTAAATGCTGCTGCCCACCCTCCACTCTGAGCTGGAGGCAGAGATCCACGTGGGCTCTGTGTGGGTGAGTGCAGCCCCATCCCCTGGTGCTGCCTATTGCAAAGGTTGCAGGCGATGGGAACCAGCCCCGCAGTCACCTTCTCATATTTTGCTGGGCTCCTCAGCCAGGTCCATTCCCACCAGGAACTCAGCGAGACCTGACAGGGAGCAGAGAAGTCTGACAAGTAGGGGTCGCCTGAGCAGGAGGCGGGTCTCCCCATCATTGGCCATCTTGGAGTGGCCAGGCCATGGAAGCTGGTCATCTTCATTCATCCTCAGGAACATGATCCCTTAGAACCTGAGAAGAGGGTAGCTGAGAGCATCAGGGGCAGATGGAGTGAGTGAGTGACCACATCGCTCCTCCCAGTAGCCTGGGCGGGCAGGGCAGGGCTGTCTCCAGGGCACGGAAGTTCCAGCTGAATGAAGAGTGGTAGAGTCACTTCACCGTGGTCATCCATCAGGGTGCAGAGACCCCATTAGAACCCAGGTCCTCTGGCTCTCCAGAGCTCTCTACCATGTACTCCTCACTTGCCCAGGCACCACACCACCTCATGCAGAGCAATGGGGCATGAGACCGTGTCAGATGTCAGATGATGCTGGGAGTTTCCAAGGATGGTTTGGGTCCTCCCAGAGCTCCTGTCTGTACCTGGCCCGGAGGCTCAGCTGTGTGAGGGGAGGGAATACCTTTGCACCTGCTTCAGGTGGCTGACAGCTCTTCCTTTCTGCAGGAGGAGCAGCTGGAGCAGGAGCCATGTTGCTGTGCCCATTGGCCCTCACCCTCATCCTGCTGGTGGTCTCTGGCATTGAGTGTGAGCTGAAGGAAGTTTGTTCTGGAAGCCCAGGCATCCCTGGCACTCCGGGATCCCACGGCCTGCCAGGCAGAGATGGGAGAGATGGTGTCAAAGGAGATCCCGGACCTCCAGGTACTGGTTGGGAGACCCCTGCCTCAGCTGAGGGACAGTGACCTGTTTTCAGGATCCCAGTGTGTTTGGGGCTCTGGAGGGGGTCTAAGGGTCAGCTGAATGGTGAGGCATGGTGGGAGTTTCCCAGAGCCCTTAGAGCAGCCCTGGAGGGTCTCTCCTCATAGTGCCCATTTACTGATAGATGACTCAGCCTAGCTGATAATGAAGGTCCCGTCATGTGAGTCCAACCCTGTTGTGAATGATTAGTACCATGTGTCCATGTCCCCTTCTCTCTGCAGGCCCCATGGGCCCTCCTGGAGGAATGCCAGGCCTTCCCGGGCGTGATGGGCTGATCGGAGCACCTGGCATCTCTGGTGAGCGTGGAGATAAAGGAGAACCTGGTGAGAGGGGCCCTCCAGGTGAGCAAGGTGGGGAAGCAGGCAGTGGCAACACGGGCACAGTGCCCATGTGATTGTCACATGAGGGACGATGGGGATCAGACAGAACCGTGGAGGTCCCCCAAGGGCATATTGCTCAACCTAATAAGAGAATCTGAGATTGAGGAGAGACATCAAAAGGTTGTGGGTGGTAGGCCACAATGCAGGGACCGATGGCTGTTGTAAGTGCTCCATGCATCACGGCTGCCATAGAGAAGGCACACGGTGTTGGGTGTGGGAAATGGGTAGTCCTGGGGGGCAGTTCCTAGGGGTGAGGCACTAGAGGAATTATGAAAGGTGTAGGGGGTACGTGGACTAAAGATCCAAGCAGATGGTGTGATTGGGAGCCCCACATGCAGAGGGAAAGTCTGAAGCGCTGAGTAGTAATCCAGGTCCATCAGGAGAGTGCACAGAGAACCACACCTGCCCTGGGGAGAGGCTCTGCCCAGAAACCAGAAAAACCCACAGAGGTGGGCACACAGCCATCAAAGGCTGTCGCAGGAGAGGAGAGCGAGAGGGCTCTGCAGGTGCAAGGCTGCGTGAAAGGACAAGTGTATAGGGCGTGTGGAAGCACCCTCCATGATAGTGGACCCTTGCGACTTGGGGCCTGGGCAGTGGGTATGGACAAGTAGAGGGAAGAATGCCAGGCTCGCAGCTGGTATCACACCTGTTGGCTTGCCCTCATTCTGGATGGGGTTCTCTCTACAGGGCTTCCAGCTTATCTGGATGAGGAGCTCCAAACCACACTCCAAGACCTCAGACATCAAATCTTGCAGTCAAAGGGAGGTAAGGAACCCCTTAGGGCCTTACAGGACAGAGGGTCTCCCATACGTTCCCCTCATCCTCAGTACCAGGCTCCAGAACTTAGCAACTTGACAAACAGTTGTGGATATGCATGTCTTGGGGAAAATAATGATGCTCCCCTTTTTGATGTCTTTGATGGCCCAGAGGGGACAGAGGTAGACACAGATTAGCTCCCTATGTCATGGGAAAGCAAGGTCTCTGCCTGTCTTGCTTTCCATTGAATCCCAGAAATTGCAGTTTGGGGCACATAGTAAGACAGTTCATAAGTAATTGTTAAATGCATGAGTGAATGAACAGAATGATGAGAGCACAGAGGAGAATTTAGAAAGACTAGGATTGGAAGACAGAGGGAAGACAGAAAGGCAGAGGTGAAGAGATTGGAGAGAGTATAAAGGCAGAGAGCCCAAGTGAGACAAAGAAGCCAGTGGTCTGACCCAGATTCCTCTGCTCTCAGTCCTCAGTTTGCAGGGTTCCATGCTGATGGTGGGAGAGAAGGTCTTCGCCACCAATGGGCAGACGGCCAATTTTGATGCCATTAGAGAGTCATGTAGCAGAGCTGGTGGCAGCATTGCAGCCCCGGAGAGTCCAGAAGAGAATGACGCCATTGCAAGCATCGTGAAGAAGCACAACACTTACGCCTACCTGGGCCTGACCGAGAGCCCCACCCCTGGAGTCTTCCACTACCTGGATGACACTCCTGTAAATTACACCAAATGGTACCCTGGGGAGCCCAGGGGTCGGGGCAAAGAAAAGTGTGTGGAGATGTACACAGATGGGCAGTGGAATGACAAGAGCTGCCATCAATACCGACTGACCGTCTGTGAGTTTTGAGCAGGCATTAAGGCCACAGGAGAGATAGGGTCCCGTCTTGCTTTCAGCCGCCAACCTGTGGATCCACCTGTATATCCTTTTCAACAACATTTATCTGTGGCTATTTCAGTTGGAGGTATACTTAGCCACTCCACTCCCCATTAGGGCCCTCACTCTTCCTCTTTGATCACTAATCAATCTGACATGCCCCCTGGAGCTCCTTCTCAGCACTGCACTCTAGGCAGCCACTGCGACCTTTGCCCTTTGTCGAGAGACGGAGACTTCTTTCTTCCTCCTCTTGTCCAGTTCCTTCATTTATAGGTGGTAACAGTGAGGTCCTGGGATGGAAGATCCCTCCAAAATCACACAGAGGGTGCCTGCTTCCTGGCTCTCTCTACTCTTTCTCTGCAGCCCACTCCCTGCCCAGTCTCATCGATTTAGCATTTCTGGTAAAGCATATGATAGAAACAGGTGGACTTCTGGGATATTCCAAATTTGGGGACTATCTGTCAGTCTGTGGCCTCTGAGGACCCATGTGGTCAGTCTTCCCATGGGGTCAGAGAGCCAGCTGGTGTCCCAGCATGATGAAGGCCAACCCACTATAGTGATTGGCATATATGATCCACTTTCTTGAGTCTTGGGGTACCAACTCAACTCCCTGACCTAAAAGCAGCAAGCCTAGACCTCTAGAGAAGATCTTAACCCCACCCCAGACATAACCCAAGTAACTTCCTGCTGATGGACATACTAGTAACTCCATACAACTTCAGATCTCATGAGGTGTTCACACCACTCATCACACCATTGACTATCTATTGAGCACATGCTGTGTACCAGGCACATTGACAAGCATTTTAGCAAATAAATATTATTTAATATTTACCTAATGCTATGGGACCATCATTATTTTCCATCTGAGGACACTGAAACTTAGAGAAGTTAAATGTTTTTGAGTTTTATTACATGGAGCAAGAGGCAGAGACTGGACTCAAACCCATCTACGTGGACCTGAAGCTCATAATCATAACTACCCTGCTCTCTTACTGAACAGAGATGATTTAAATAAATCTTGAATGTGTTAACATCAGTCTCCATTGCTCTGGTTCCAAGAAACATCACATTTCTGTATTTTTATAAATCAACTTAACTGGCTCTGAGCCCCAGCTTACCTAAAAAATGGAAAATTCAATCTCAGGTTATGCTTTCTTTGTTGAGTGGAGGGCAACCTGCTCTCCACTCGTAGGTTATACAGGTGAATGAGGAGCTACAGAAAACGCCTGGAAGAATATCAGTGTTGGTGGCTGGCATTAAGATAACTCCTCCTCTAAGTCTATGTATCCATTTTGGGTGGTGATTTCATGTGTTCATTTCCTACTGAGTCACCTGGATGTTTCCCCTAGTCATGGCTCTGTCCCAGGCCTTGGTGAGCCACCCCAGTCTCAGGTCTGCAAGGAATGGGACCATGTCCCAGTGCTCTGTGGGAATGGGATCATGTCCCGACTGGCTTGAGGAGGCAACCACATATGTGTCCCACCTTCAGAAAGGTCCTCACTTCTTCCACTTTCAAATAATCTAATGCTCGTCATCACTGCATGTAATTCTTTTTCTTAGGTAAGAGAGAGCTTTGGATCAAAACCCACAAAGCCAGATGGGAATGAGCAGAAATATTTCTCATTCCTTCATGAATGGCAATTTTTTAATCTGGTCACATTGCTACATGTGCTTAGGTCCCAGCACACAAATTATTGAGCCTTCCCCAAAATTCAAAAGAGCAAGCAGGAGAAGTATATTTTTCCTATTTTGTAGATCAACAGTCTAAGCCTCCAAAAATTGATGTTTTCTCATTTCTTATTAGATTTATTTTTTACTTATTTTATGGTTTTATTTGCTATTGTTACTATATTATTTTTATCACATTTAAATTAATTATTGATGGTTTATGAGAAAACTATTGATTTATTTTTTATTGATCTTTTTAAAAAATATATTTTATTGATTTTTTTTACAGAGGGGAAGGGAGAGGGATAGTTAGAAACATTGATGAGAAAGAAACATCGATCAGCTGCGTCCTGCACACGCTCTACTGGGTATGTGCCCACAACCAAGGTACATGCCCTTGACCAGCCTTGAATCTGCAGGCCGACGCTCTATCCACTGAGCCAAACCAGCTAGGGCTATTTTTTATTGATCTTATATTCAGCCATCTTTTTGGATTCTCATGTATCTCCTAATATTTCTAATATAATTGATTATCTTATATTTTACAAGTATATGATTGTATTTACACATGACAGAAATTTTTGCCTATCCATTATGATATTTACATTTCTTATATATAATTTTTATATATTTAAAGGTGCCAGGAGACCCTATATATTGTTGAAAACCCTCAATGATAAATTATGTTTTTTGGGTGGTCCTGAATGTATAAATGGGAACACTTCCAATATTTCACCATTGAAAATATTGCTTATTTTAAGTCTGACAGATACCTCTTATCAAGGAAAAGAACTTCCCTCCTTTTCCTAGTTTGCCGTGACTCATTAACATGTATTGAACTGTATCAGATTATTTTTGGCATTTCATTTAGTCTAATAACACTAAACTGATGTCTAATATGGGTTGAGTCATCTCGAATTCCTGGGTGCCAGCATCTGGAGCCCATAGGGGAGAATGAGAGGCTTTAAGTGCCTCATCTTTTAAGATTGGAGAAATGCCCCAGGGACCCCACTATGGAACCTGTAAGGAGGGGGCTGTTCAGTATGAGTGATTTAGTAATTCCTACCCCCATGGTCAGTATAAGGAGGAATAAATAGAGGAAAGAAGGCTGATTCACCTTGGGTAGAAATTATCTCTTCTTCACTCCCTGAAGGAGGAGACTGTACTGTCCTCTTCCTAATCTTTGCAAGTAGGGATGCTCAATTGCTTCACCTTCCTCAATTAAGTCACCTAATGTAGAAATGGAGGGATTATATCCAGTTCTAAAATTACTGAAGTACTAAACCAGTAGATGGACTGATCTTTCTGAGGCATGGGAAGATGGAGAAAGGGGAGAATAGAGCTGGGAACAAGAGTGTTTGGAGGTAATGTGGATTTCCATCAATTGTATGGAGTTTCCCTGGGGCTGTGTGAATGCCAATGTCATGGAAGTGAGCTGGGGTTTAAATTCTAGTTGTGAGCAGGTTGCTTCCCTTAAAGCAGGGACACAGGGGCTCAAAGAACAAGAGACAATGAATTGAAATGTCCACTGACGCGATATGGACGGTAGGAAACGTGCAGCTAGAGGCTTATAGGGTCCCTTGTCTGAAGAACTAGCTCTTGAGAAGGGTTGTCATTTGTAATCAAAGGGACTGAACAACCAGTCAGGGTGGGCCAAGAAGCAGCACTGTCCCCACTGACATGTGGTTCCTCCTGTGAGCAGGTATTGTCTACTATTGGAATCATCATTTTCTCTACACCCCACATGTGGAAAGCAGTAAGAGAGAAGGCCTGCCCACCTTTCACTTCAAGAAGCCAGCACTCTATGGCCAGAGGAATGATGAATCAGAGATGAAACTGAGATCTTAATGACAAAACTGGAGGACAATTCATTTGGACTGTTTTAAATCAACCCTAGAAAGTTTTCATTGCAGGAAGAAAATGTAAGAAGAATTTTGAGACCATGTATTAGTTTTGAGACCAGGTAAACTTCAAATGTTAAGATTGTATATATCTGCAGTAAGACTCTTAAACTTCTTATATATTAAACTAGAGGCCCAGTGCATGAAATTCGTGCAGGGGGGGGGGGTTCCTCAGCCCGGCCTGCAACGACGCCAGCATCCCTTGCCTCAGCCTCTGGCTCAAGGCTCCTCCCCTCCCCTCCCTCTGTACGGCCGGGGCGGGGACACTGGGCTTGCATCACTGTGAGCCCAGCATTTCTCGCCCTGGCCTCTGGCCTGAGGCCCCCCCCTCCCCTCCCTCCATACGGCTGAGGCACGGACACTGGGCTCACGTTGCAGGGGCTACGCCACCAGCATTCTGCCCTTGCCACTATGGGAACCACCATCTTTGTCACAGATTGATGGTTAATTTACATATTACTCTTTTATTAGATAGGATTAGTGAGTTACATGGATTCATTTTTTTGATATTGAACCGTCCTTGCATTTCTAAGATATACTTTACTTGTTCTAATGGCTGATACTCTCATCACACTGTGTGCCAGGCACTATACTTGTATTAACTCACGTCATCTTCTTTAGCCCTATTATCCACAATTTACAAATAAGAATATTGATGAAAGTAGATATTAAAGTGATTTGTCAAAGATCATGTAGCCACAAGATGGCAGCATAAAGTATCTACCTGTATGTGCCGCCCCCCACAACCACATTAAAACTACAACTAAAAGACAAAACAGCGATCATCCAGAACCACGGGAAAGCTGGCTGAGTGGAAGTTGTACAACTAGAAGGAAAGAAAAAAGTGCATTGAGGCTGGGTAGGAGGTGCGGAGACACCAAGAGCAGAGGTATGGAGGTGTGCGAACCAGGCTGCATTTGGGTGCATGGTTTTTTTTCAGTCGGGAGATACAAGATCCCGACTGTACTGAACTCATTTCTGGCAAGACTCTAGGCACCCAGACTCCTGCAGGAAGAAAGTGGACTGTTTGGCATCGGGTCAGAAAGCAAGGGTGGCTTTCTTGCAGAACTGCTCCCAGGGATCATTGTTACTGTGGGGGTGTGGGACTCGGGGACTCGGGGATGCGAAGACACTGAGACACGGAGACGCGTGGAGATGCACGGAGTCACCGAGACGGCTGATGACAGCCATCGCTGTTTGCTCCGTCCCGGTGATTCTCTGAGACCCCGCCCCAATCAATTTACAACCCCACCCAAGCTGTGCGCAAATGAATCACCTGCCCTTTTGCAGCCTAACCTAACAAACTGCAGCTGGGTCAGAGAGCTCCAAAATGTCCAAACCCCAAACAGAGGAGAAATCTGCAGATCTCGCGGTAGCTCTTGCAGGGCGAACTCACACAGTAGTTGAATTTGCACCTCCTTGGAGATCCAGGAGCCAGTGTACCCAGTGGTCAGATACCAGATTTGAACTCCTCATATCCATAAGTGACACACTCAAGAGGCAGACTCAGTGAGCACCAAAGCCCCACTGAAGCAAGTCTTGCCCCAGAAGGGTGTCTTCAGCACAGAAGTTCTCCCACTGCAGACACAGCTGATTCTCACTGCCAATTGGCCTGGAGGTCAATTCCTCCCAGTGACACCTAAAACAATCAAGGCATAACTACAACAAGACTGTGCACAAAGCCCACAAGGGGGTGCACCAAGAGTGTCCACCTCAGGTAACTGGGGAGGCTGAGCCACTGGGCCCTGTAGGACACCTAGCACACAAAACCACTCTACCAACACAGGGAAGCAGACAAAATGCGAAGACAAAGAAACAGGTCACAAATGACAGAAATGGAGGACAGCAAACGACTGGATATAGAGTTCAAAACCACGGTTCTAAGATTTTTCAAGAATTTTATGGAAACCGCCGATAAATGTATTGAGATCCTTAAGAAATCTAGTGAGACCCTCGATGTTGTGATAAAGGACCAACTAGAAATTAAGCATACACTGACTGAAATAAAGAATATTATACAGACTCCCAACAGCAGACCAGAGGATCGCAAGAATCAAGTCAAAGATTTGAAATACGAAGAAGCAAAAAACACCCAACCGGAAAAGCAAAATGAAAAAAGAATCCAAAAATACGAAGATAGTGTAAGGAGCCTCTGGGACAACTTCAAGCGTACCAACATCAGAATTATAGGGGTACCAGAAGAAGAGAGAGGGCAAGATATTGAAAACCTATTTGAAGAAATAATGACAGAAAACTTCCCCTACCTGGTGAAAGAAATAGACTTCCAAGTCCAGGAAGCGCAGAGAACCCCAAACAAAAGGAATCCAAAGAGGACCACACCAAGACACATCATAATTAAAATGCCAAGAGCAAAAGACAAAGAGAGAATCTTAAAAGCAGCAAGAGAAAA